TGAGGACTCCTGCACCCTCACCTCCCTTGGTGCCCCTCCAGGAAAGCAGCTGAGTTCACTTGATTTGTCTAGAGCTGGAATGAGGAGAGCCTATATCAGAAACCCATGGCATTTGTGAGCTCTGCAGAAAGTGACCAGTCTAAATGTGCACATGTCAGCACAGACCAAAACAAGCCAGCTTAAAATCAGTCTCTGAGATCTCCCAGGTCTCAGGAAAGCAGATAATTCCTCTCCCTGATGCACAAACTCATGTGGAGAACAGCATCATTCTGCTCCAGTGCGTTTCAAAAGCCTGCATCCTTTCACACAAGCCACACACCACTTTTGGCCTTATTTCTTACACATGCAGGAAAGTGTTTGCATATAAAATCTCACTGTAGCTCCTAATCCTGTTCTTCCACAGTGCACTGGATGGCTGATGGCATGGGTTTGCCTCTTGTATAGGGATGCTTCTCCCAGTCCTTTTCATAGCTTTTCTTAGGCTGCCCTAAGAGGGAACAAGTGACTTTCCAGCTGTGGTCTCTTCCACAAGGAACAAGATAGTCCTAAAACTGCTGGCTCCCAGCCACATCACTTCAATGTCCTGTTAGTCTGCACTGACCTGCATCCCCTGGATCAGCCTTGTTCTTGGCTCCATCACCAGTTTGTTGAGTGCTTTGCATTTTCCTCTTCATTTTGCAGCTCATGGTAGAGTGAATCAGGGTGAAGTGATGAGCACTTCTGTCTGGGTGCCTGGTTCAAAGTGCTTGTGAAAAATCAACTTCAGCCCTGCTGGGAAGTTTCTGAAAGTCTCAGAGAAGTCACTTGTGCGTGGCCAGGCTGAGTTCTGGTGGTCCTCACAGCCCTGGTGGTGGGAAGCCCTGCTCAGACCCACATCCCTCCCTGGATCATTCCTTCACCCGGCACCAGCCCAGAGGTCATTCAGAGCTGCCTGACATGACAGCACCTCTTTATTTCCCCATATTACCTTTATTTACAGAGCTCTTGGCTTATTTCCCTTCTCCTTGGGCACCTTTGGAGATCCCCAGAGCCCCAGACAAGCCCTGGGGGATGAGTGGTGGTGTGGGGACCGCTCACCCCGCAGCCCTGGGACCAGCCTGGTGGAGCTGCTCCCTGCAGTATCCCCGGCCTCCAGCCCAGGCTGTCTCGGCAGATGGAGCTGCTTCCCTAGGATGCAGCCAGACGCCGTGCCCAGACCCTGCCTCGGCTGATGCACGCAGCTTGGAGCAGTGCGTGGTGGTCCTTGTGTGCGGGCTCGGGAGTCGGACACGGCCCTGGGATGGGGAAGGAGCTGGTTTTTGCATTTTCTTTTCTTCCAGATGGGGAAGGAGGAGTTTGTCTGTGTAAATAAGTAAACGGGACTTCCCACTTCAGCTAGGACTGAATGACATGTGCAGTAAACGCTGCTTCGTTTCAGGTAATGGGGGGGCTGGGATCCTCTGAAGAAGGAAAAACCCCAGGAAATACTCCTGCTCCAGACCCGAGCTGCTCTCGCATGGCTCTGGGGCCACCAGGCTTCCACAGGGATGCCAGCTTTGCAGCAGTGCTTTGTAAAGGCACAAGCCAGCAGAGATCTCACTGAGATGAGTTATAAGCCCTCTGTACACCAGCGAGAAGTGGGGAGTGGGGCAGAGACATCAGTGTCCTTGTCCCCATACCCAGAGCCCTTGGAGACGTCTGGGTCCCTGGGCGATTTCCCCCCTGCATTAAGCCCTGTTGGCTTTGTAGCTAATCTGTGTCAGGCAGTGTGACAACCTTGTCCCTCCTCTGCTCCTCTTCCTTGTCTGCAGTGACAGCAGAAACCTTTTTCCTTACGGTATGTAGGCACACAGGGAGTAGGGACAGGCCCCCGCCCCGGTGAGCTGTGAGTCTCGCACACAGGCAGCTGTGTGCCGGGACATGGGAGCTGAGGGGAGCTGCTTTCAGCTTTGGGTGTGTTTGCTGTGAAAAAGTCCCACTTCAAACGGTTGGAAAGGGGCAGGTAAATGATTAATCTGTTCTTGCAGAGCCTGACAGAGCTATGGTTTGTTTATAGCCATGACTTATAGCTACCTATGGTACTTTCGGCCAGAACTTGCCGTATACCCACCTGTGAGAGCCTGATAGCAACCCCTAAGTGTCTGATAACCTGCTATAAAAGGAGTCTTCATGGAAAGACCGCTCCCTTTATTTAAAGACAGGATTGCTTCCCTTTGGGTTTTTCCGCAGGTGATGCTCTGCTGCTGCACCCTGCACCAGGGACAGGCAAATGCAGCTGAAAGCTCCTGCCTCACACTGTGAGCCCAAAAAGCCTGAGGGTTCAGGTCTCACACATCTGGGAAGTAGACTGAGGCCTGTCAAACTCATTCCATGTGTGCCAAGTGCTCAGCTGAGGTGCTGGGGGCAGATGTGACCTGGGGGGGGGCTCTCAGGGTAGGTGCACCAAGGGGTTTGGGCACGTAGCTCCCCTTCTCTCTGGCTGACATGAGCTTCATCCCCTGCAACCCTTCCTTAGCTCCCATTTAACTCTAAGAGGGTCTAAAGTCCTGGCTCATTTTCTGCATGTAAAGGTGGCAGCTATGTCAATATTTAATCTGTGCTGCTTAGATCCTCGGAGTGAGGAATCCAGGCTCCTTTTGGAGCAAAGTCTGCTAACTGATGGGGCAGAACCGGCACCAGATCAGCTCCCGATAAAGCAGCCCAAATAAAACACAACAATGTCCTGTGTCTGCATCTCCCACACAGGATTTGACCCCCTGGGGGATAAGCAGGTACCAGAGCAGCTCAGCATCCTCCTTTGGGGAGGAAACCCCAAAGGGATGCAGGGCACAGGGGTCCCGGTTCCCTCATGTGCCCTCTTTCTGGAGCTCAGCTTCTGTCCCCCTGCCTAACAGAGGGGTTCAAAGTGATTGTCTTGGAGAAAAACTGTGTGTGTGTGCATAGAAATTAGGAAAACTCCTGGATGTCCTTTATTAGTCCCAAATAATAATAGTCCCAAATTCCCTGTTTTTTCTTTTTCTTTTTTTTTTTAAATAATTTTTTAAATAATTTTTTATTTGTTTAATAATAAAAAAGAAAAAGAAAAAAGCAGAAGTCTTGAAAAAAAATATAAAAAATATTTCCCTCTCTCTTTTTTTTTTTTTTTTTTTTTTTTCATTTTCTTACTCTGGAAAATGGTGGGGCTCATCTTAAAGAAAAGCCCTTTTTCCAGGCTGGCCAGGGGGGCTAAAGGAGGAAGGAAGAAGAAGGAGGAAAACTCGAGGGCGGCAACTCAGGAGCTGACCCAGCACATAAAAACATCTTCAAAGCGAAGAGCTTGTTTTTCAAAAACACCAGGGTTTCGCTGGAAACGACCCGAGCTGGAGCCGCCAAGCAGGGCTGGGACCCAGGCCAGCTTTGGGGAGGCTGCCAGCTCTCAAAGTGTGCGTAACCCAACCTGCGCCCAAACTGTCCCTGCCCCACACCAGGACTGGGTCACCATCTCCTTGGGGCACCAGTGACCTTTCTTCTCCCTACCCCCTGCTCCCTAAGCCCCTTCCCCAACACTGATGGGTTCCTGCGAGTTGGGCTCCGCAGGAGTGATATTTGTCCAGGATGCTTTTATTCATTCTGGCTCTTTTTCAGGGCAAAGTCTTGCTCTCCCTGACAGCTCACTCAAAAAATAGCTCAGCGGCTCATTTTGCTGGCTGGGAGGCTGCTGCGATCGATACCGAATGCGGTGACTTCTGGTATTTTTAATGGCTCCCTGGGCAGCTTATCGTCTCTGTATACTTAGATACTGATGTCACAGCAGCGTGGGTAAATACACCAGGCATGTATTGCTGGGCATGGCTGGGCTGAGCAAGAAGTACTTCTTTTTTCTTCCCCTCCACGCAGGCTGCTCCTGCAAACTTGGGGTCTTGGAGATGCATCAGACCACACAGATCCCAGACAGGGTCAGCCCCATTGCCTCATGCTGCCTGCTCCATTTTCTGCCGTTTTTGTTGGCACTGGATGCTCTTTCAGGTGCTGGGAGCTGCACTGCACTGGCTGACTTTCCAGCTCATGATGCAGCTGGGATGTGCACAGCAGTGCTGTGCATTTCCCAGCAAAACAAGGATGTCTGCTTTAATGTGCTCTTGGTCTTGCAACAATTCCAGTTTAACAGCCTAACTCCAAACCCTGTGCCTAAATATCTTCCACCCCCGTTGCAGCGTAGCCTCTGGCCTGATGGAGGACAGATGTGCATCTTGGGAGTTACAGGACTTGAATTAGGACAAAAATAAATGGAGAACTGGATGGAGGGAAACATCCTTCTTTTCCCCAGCCGGTGCAAGACATCATGGAGAAAGAAGGGCTCTGGCGAGCACCATGACGCAGTGCAGTGCAGGCGGCTGGCAGCCCCAAAGCCCATGTGTGCCCACGTCCCCGTGTCCCTGCTGCAGCTCAGGAAAAGAGCAAAGTGCAGGGAGATAAAACTTCTGCTCACCGGGCTGCATCCCCAGGGGTGGTGGGAACTGCTGCAGAGGCTGGACACTTTGGCACAGCATTTCGCTACCTGCATTCAATGCACAGAAGCCATGGACAGGTAGGGAAATCTGTCAGGGCAAAAAATTGATATAAAAACAACAAAATCCTGACCAAATTGCCTGAGTCACCAGGTGCCAGCCCCTCTCCCTGGCCCCGTTCTGCTCTGTGTTCCAGCAGGACGCAGCGCAGCTGCAGCCAAAGGACAGTCACAGGAATCCTGGCACTGCCCTGCTCCAAAAAAGCTCAGCTCAGCTTCCAGAGATCAGGCTGCAGCAGCACAGAGCAGAGCAATCCAGAGCTGCAGAGACAGATCCAGGAGGATCTAGGGCTGTTCAGAAGATTTTATTGCTTTTTTCACTGTTTATAACCCTCTGTTTCAAAAAATGATGCTGCAGGTGTGAGTGGCCAGGCTTTGGAAAGAAGATTGTGATCACTTTCACATTGTATCCGGGCTTTTCTTTCAACAAGTAGAAGGAAAAAAAAAAAAAAAAAAAGCGAAGTATCTAACCAGATATTACAAAGGAGTCATGGAAAGTCAGATTACTCACCGAGCAGAAAAACATGGAAACGCTCAAAAGGAAGATGTCAAAGAAACGCATTTGCCCAAAATCTCCATGAAGCAGAAGCCCTCGAAGGAGCTGAGGCCCATGCTGGGGGCCATCACGCTGGGCCTTGTCCTGTTCATTGCCGCGGTGGTGGCCTGGTGCTACTACACGGTGTCCCTGCGCAAGGCGGAGCGGCTGAAGACGGAGCTGATGGACCTGCGGGCGGACGGCTTCGTCATCAGGAACCAGCACGGGGAGGTGGTGTTCCGCCTGGCCTTCCGCTCGGGGAGCCTGGACCTGGAGTCGTGCTCCAAGGAGGGCGAGATCCTGAGCTGCACGCGCTCGCACCGCGGGCCGCTCAACTTCTTCATCCAGACGGTGAAGCCCAAGGACACGGTGATGTGCTACCGCGTGCGCTGGGAGGAGCTGGCGGCCGGCCCGGCGGTGGAGCACACCATGTTCTGGGAGGACGCCCACTGGTACGGGGGCTCGGAGATGAGCACCCAGCACTGGCCCATCCGCCTGGCCGGCTACCAGGAGCCCGTGCCCTACGTGACCAGCGACGTCTACTCCTTCCGCGACAGCTTTGGCGGCATCCTGGAGCGCTACTGGCTGTCCTCCAAGGCGGCGGCCATCAAGATCAACGACTCGGTGCCCTTCCACCTGGGCTTCAACGCCACCGAGCGCACCCTCTTCTTCCAGGCCCGCTACAAGGACTCGCCCTACAAGCCCCCGCCAGGCCAGCAGCCCTTCCCCGAGCTCAGCTACCGCGTGTGCGTGGGCTCCGACGTCACCTCCATCCACAAGTACATGGTGCGCAGGTACTTCAACAAGCCCTCCAAGATCCCCGCTGAGAACGCCTTCCGCTACCCCATCTGGTCCACCTGGGCACTCTACAAAAAAGATATCAACCAGGATAAAGTCTTGGATTTTGCAAGAAACATAAAGAAGTACCGTTTTAATTGCAGCCACATTGAGATCGATGACATGTACACACAGGCCTATGGGGATTTTGACTTTGACCCCGTCAAGTTCCCCAATGTAACAGAGATGTTTGCAAAACTGAGAGAGGATGGCTTTAAATTTACCCTGTGGATTCACCCTTTCATACACACAGATTCCTCCAACTTTGGTGTGGGGATTGAGCGTCAGCTGTTCATCAAGGAGCCGTCGGGGCGGCTGCCGGCCATGGTGGAGTGGTGGAACGGCATCGGGGCCATCCTGGACTTCACCAACCCGGCAGCCCGGGACTGGTTCCAGAGCCACCTGCGCCAGCTCCGCCACAAGTACGGCATCTCCTCCTTCAAGTTTGATGCAGGTGAGACCAGCTACCTGCCCAAGCAGTTCAGCACCTTCCGGCCACTCTCAGACCCCAGCATCTGGTCACGGCGCTACACGGAGATGGCCATCCCCTTCTACGAGCTGGCGGAGGTGCGGGTGGGCTACCAGTCGCAGAACATCTCCTGCTTCTTCCGCATCATTGACCGCGACTCCGTGTGGGGCTACGAGCTTGGCCTCAAGTCCCTCATCCCCACGGTGCTCACCATCAGCATGTTGGGGTACCCTTTTGTGCTGCCAGATATGATTGGAGGAAACTTCCTACCGAATAAGACAGATGGTGCAGTTGAGATCCCGGACCGTGAGCTGTACGTGCGGTGGCTGGAGCTGTCGGCCTTCATGCCCTCCATGCAGTTCTCCATCCCGCCCTGGCTCTACGACAAGCAGGTGGTGGAGATCGCACAGAAATTCACCGAGCTCCACGAGTCGCTGGTGGCCCCATTGCTGCTGGAGCTGGCCGGGGAGGTCACCGACACGGGCGACCCCATCATCCGGCCCATCTGGTGGATCTCGCCCCGCGACGAGGCCACCCACAGGATCGACTCGCAGTTCCTCATCGGGGACACCCTGATGGTGGCACCCGTCCTGGAGATGGGCAAGCAGGAGCGTGACGTCTACCTGCCGGCGGGCAAGTGGCGCAGCTACAAGGGGGAGTTGTTTGAGAAGACGCCTGTGCTGCTCACCGACTATCCCGTTGACTTGGACGAAGTTGCCTATTTCCATCGGATTTCATAACATCTCCTCCATCAGCTTTGCCATGGTCTCAGGAATTAATGAACCCATGACTTTATTGACCTGGGAATTTTTATAGCTTTTGAAGTAGAAATACATTAGCATGAACTCAAAGAAAATACTGTGACCTTTATTTAGTGTGTCAATTGCTGTAGAATAACTTATTAAAATGTATTGGATGAATGTCTTGGCTCTTGTAGTATGACTAATACAATGTATAGAAACAGATTCTCCACTCCTAATCTCTTCCCATCAAGAAATGCCATGCACACTTACTTTTTATATAGAATAATGATAATTAGATGGACTCCATTGTTACCCAGTGGTACTGCAGCCCTTCTCCTTAGATTTTTGTATTTTTTGTTTGCTTAGTGAAGGAAGCCGTTGGAACAGAGTATTTTATTAAACTAAAAATAAATCAGAAAACAATCTGTGATTAATCTAAAGACAGCAGCACCAAAATTTCAGCCTGTACATTGGATGGGTGCTGATGCAGTACAGCAAGGAGAGTTTGTATTTCCCATGAACTGATTTGTCCAAGGAAGCAAAAAGAAGCTTTAGCACTTGCTAACAGTTTGGCAAACTTCCCCCCCACCCCCCGCCTTTTAATGGAAGAAAGTGTTGAGAAACATGTCCCTGGTGTGGAGTCAGCCAAGCCTGTAAGCATGTGGTGAGATCTCACTGACAGTCAAAATTAAAACCTAGCAGCAAGTCATGCATGGGTGAGGACCACTAATGGGATCCATTCATGGTTTGGGTCCGTATTTGGGAGCAAGGGTGCAATTTGTCCACCACAGAGATCCCAGGGAGGACTTTAAATTGTCCTCCTGAGAGAGCTTGTATAAATAACATACTAGCCCAAGTGCCCTCCTGCATCAGTTTCCCCATGGAAAATGTCCTCCCATGCCACCAGCTGTGCTGATGTCCATCAGTTGGCATGCTTCTGCCCTGGGACATGACTTCTCCTGGGTGACAGCATCTCAACAGCGCCTGTGGGTTTGGGAAAAGTGAGCTGGCTCTGAAATGTTCTCCAGTCTTGGTCCAATCTTCCCCATTTCTAAACTAAGAGAAGTTTGAAGGTGATGTGACTGAGGAGTTTAGGAGAATTCTGAGTTCTCTGGGCTGTGATGCCTCTTCCCAAAGCAAGAGACTGATTCTTTCTCTGCCCCCAACAGGCTGCTGGCGGCACCTGGGGGAGGTAAAACTGTGCATGGCTCAAACCAGGAGAAAACCCTCTTCTTTAGGGGTTTGCCCCAGAGCTGGTCCATATCATGAGTACACGGGGGCTTGAGAGCATCATGGTCACTCCAGAGCTAATTTGGTGCTCAGTCTACGCAGTCCAACCAGAGGATCCATTATGGTGCAAGGACCCTATGTGGCCACAGCTGCACAGGAAAAGACAAGCCAGGATGGTTTGTAGATGTCCTCGAAAGCAAGGTGAGAAAGCAGCCTCAGCCCCAGTGATGTTGACAGTGTGGAGAGGGGGAGGGACAACCCACCAAACCTCCCTCAATCCAGGGGTGTGAAGGGGTGATGACTGCTCAATGCCATCAAATGGTGATGTTTGGGGTCATTGCTTTCCTCCCCTCTGGGGACCAAAGTGTCCCAGTGGGCCCCAACAAAGCTCCTTGGCTGTTGCTTCAGCAGGAAAAAAGCTTTCTAAAAAGCTGAGGCTGCATGTGGTACTCACACAAAGCCTCCTGGTGCCCAGGCTGGTGGGGGTGAGGAGCCAGCCCCATCATCTCTACCTCATGATCTGTGTGCATGGTCATGGCTCTGCTGTCCTCCTGCATCACAGGCTGGGGGGGGAAATGCATCTCCAAGACCTTCTGCACCCACTGGGGATGATACAGGCTGCCTGATCCTAACAGATGCCCCTAGGGAAAGGAGAGGTCAAGTCCATGTGGCTGCAAAAATCCCTCCCCAAATCTCCATCCCTGCCTGCTCTCTCCCCCTCTGCCTCTCCCTGGCGGGCCTTCACGCTGCTGGAGGAACATCTGGTTTGCCTTGCTGAGCTTTAGTCACGGTTGTTTTTTAGCAATCCCAGCTTCCCAGCTTTGAGCAAGTGCTGTGCTTGCTGGAGGGGCTGGTGACATGGGAACATCGCTCACTCCAGGCTGTTTTCATGTTTTTTTTTGGAGGGGGGTGGTTATTATCCTTAATCTTTGATTATCATTGAGCTACAAATCACTGATCCCCATCGGCAAAAAAGTAAATGTATTAAAAACAAACAAACAAAAACCAGTTCCTGCCTTTCTCTACTTGGCTGTGGGATTTTGCATGGCCCAGCCCAGCATTATGGCTTTCCTGGACTCCAGGACTGCCTGTGATGGAAGAGGTTGTTTTGATGGAAGAGGTTGTTTTTCCCTAAGGTTGCCAGACTGGCTGCATGCCTGAAGGGGATCTGTTGCTGTCAGCTTGTCCTTTCACCACAGCTCTTCCCAGACGTGTGCAGTTTTTGCCATTTTTTTCTCTTACTTTTAACGAAAGCTGTGATCTCAGGCAGGGCTGGACCTGCTCCCAGCCAGGACCCCGTGGCTCAGCAGTCACTGCCCCACTGGCACCCGTGGGCACCTCTGCAACCTGGTTTGAAATGAGCTGGGCTTTGGCTGTAGCCTCTCTTGGTCTGGATGTGGCCATGAACACCCCTCACCATGCAATGCACAGCCCTGGATGTATTTTTGAGCCCTGCCTAATGTGTGGTTTAGCATCACCCCGTGATCGGTGGGGTCCAGCTCCCATTTTGCTGGGACCCAGTGTAGTGCAGATCCTCATGCATCTTTCCTGGACACAGCTCCAGCTCTCAGGAGGATGCAAAAACACCCACCCAAAAACATCAGAAAAAACAACAGCAATCCAACTCTAATCCCAGCAACTCCAGGGAGGACTTGTGCATTACTGAGGACTGCTGCAGGTGCTGGAAGGCAGCTCCAGCCTGTCCCAGGTCTCCAGAAGCACCAGCTTCACCTCCCATGGGTGAGCATGAGCCTGCTGCATGGATGCTGCTTGCACACAGGGAAGAAGGCAAAGAATTGGGAAAATGCCTTCTGCTGCTAAAGCAGCAAATCAGTTAGCCTCATCCCATCACCTGAGTCGTGTAAGTTTCATGAGCTGTTTCTGGTGCTCCCATGGCCAAAACCATCCACACCACCCCTCTACCCTGCCAGAGCAGCGTGGGAAGGGGACCTGGGGACAGCAGGGACAGGCAGTGCCCCAGGTGAATTTCTGGAGCCTCTGTGGGAAGCTGCAAGCAGCCTTGTCATCTCGCACACAGTTTCGAACCGTGTGTCTTCTGTGTCAGCATGGACCAGCTACCCCCCCAGGTTGGCACTGAGGGGCACTTTTGGGGAAAGAATCAGCAGAAAGGGTGTCACAACTGGTCTGATGCAGCAGCAGGAGTCACCTGGACGTGGCCTTTTCTAGGCCAGCCCCAAGCCACAGCTCTTCCCCTGCCACGGGGATGCCAGGGAGGGCGATTTGTGACCCATCCCAGCCCGTGCTGCAGGAGGGTGGTTGTGGTTGTAGGCAGCCCCTCCCTTCAAAACACACATCAAAGCTTCAGACCACAAGTTTTAAATAAACCAGCAGCCTCAGTTCTAATTTCAGTAAAGCCTGGGGTGAAAAAAGCCCCAGATCTGCCTGAAACACTGGCCCCACATATAGACAGACACGTTAAACTTCTTTTTGTTTTCCAAAGTTTTATATCAATCAAGGCAATTGATGTTACAGTCTTGTTTTCATAACAATTCAGAATTAGAAAAGTGGTTAAAAACAACCCCCCCGGCATTGTGGTCCGACTCAGGAAGGCGTGTGAAACCCAAGCACCCACTCAGCCGACACACAACGGCACGAGCTTCCAAACCCAGTCCCACAGGCGTCACGTCGACCTGCTGCTCAGACACAACCTGCCAGAGCCAACTGGAAGAGGCTGAACCAACCCCAAGACCCGTTTTGGGGCTTTTCCTTGGCTGAGTCAAACTAGTTTTGGACAGCGACCCTTGGGTAAGCCAGAGAGATATCCCCAGGGGGAGGTTCCCAAAGTGTCTGTGCACGGAGCGCTTGTGGTCTGTGAGGTGCTAGGGATGCTCCAGCTGGGCTGCAGGGCTACAGCACAGTGTTAGAAATAGTGGTTTTGGTAAAAAGCATGACGGAGAGGGTACCTAGAAGCTTCTGATAGCTTGAGGCAGCACTGTTGAGCCTGTCTCCAAATTGTGGGGAAGACTTGGTGCCATGGACAGCCACCCATATGGGCCCTTGGGAAGCCACCTGCTCCTCAGCTTCATCCCTTACATCCTCCCAGCTTTACCCTAACCACAGCATTTAGAAAAATAAGGATACTTTATAATCTCAGTCGTTTACAACAAGTTAAGAAAAACCTCTAACAATAAAACTCTTTACTTAGAGGGAAGGGGAAGAATGGCATGTCTAGTGGAGACCTTTCCTCCACGACCTTCCTGACAGCACCCTGTTGAATTTGGTGCTTTCCTGGCACAAAGCTGCTAGGGTCTGGCCACACTGGACTTTTGTTTTCTTCACCCCTGTGAGGGGACCAAGGCACTCATCCAGTCACTCCCATCATGTTCACAACAAAAGGATCCTAACGGGAGAACTGATTAGCTCCTGGCCAGCAAGTGTCTCTAGCTTGGAAAAGCACTGCCACTTGCACTGCGGTCAGGGAGCAAACCTGAGCTCTCCACAGCTGAGCCTGGGACATACTTGTGCTCCCACTGGGCAGGGACCTGTCTCGTTTTGAGGCCAAACCACCAAATTACACAGGTCAGATCCAGCCAGGCCTCAGGGTCAGTTCCAGAGTCAGAGACTCACAGAGGAGTTGAGGTTGGAAGGGACCTCTGGGACCTTGTGGTCCAACCCCTGCTCAAGCAGGGCCACCCTGAGCAGGTTGTCCAGGGCCATGTCCAGGTGGCTTTTGAGGATCTAGGAGGAGGGAGTCCATCAAATTAAAATTTCTCCCTTCCTTCCTAACCATAAAAGCACTTTAGATATTGCCCGAAGCACCTGAGTTTACTCCTGGGCACCACCACAAGCTCCTTACAAGGTACAGCTCCTTTGCTTCCTCCTGCAAGCCCAGAGCAGGAGATGTGCTTGGAGAAAGACTATCACAGGTACCAAACCCTGCCCCAAATACTGTTCCATCTCCCTGGGTGGCGGACTCATGCCTGGAT